AGCATTGCTTATTATAAACTTTCAAAAATGAATACTGCATAATATGGCATTGTTCATTAGAATTAATACATATTTGGCTTGAAAATTTATTAATTTCATTATTTAGACTACATATTTAATGAAAATAAATGAATAACCGGACAGGGTGTGGGGCTGGCTGGCTTTGGGTACGGGGGTGCGGCAGGGGCTGGCTGGAGAAAGGGGGGTTTGGGGCTGGCTGGCTTCGGGCAGGGCAGGGGATGCGGAGCTGGTTGGAGATTGGGTGCGGGGTTGGCTGGCTTCAGAGAGGGGGGTGCTGCAGGGGTTGGATGAAGACAGGGCAGGGGGTGGGGGGCTGGCTGGCTTCGGGAAGGGTGTGCTGCAGGCGTTGGATGGAGACGGGGGTGCGGAGCTGGCTGAGGGCAGGGTGGCAGGTACCAGGGCCATCCCTAGATATTCTGGGGCCCTATGCAGCCCCCCCGCAGGGGGGGTTCCCCAGTCCTCCATGGGGGAGGTGGGAGCGGGGGGGGGCCTGGCTTCCGGGGGGTCGGGGCTGGCTTGGGGGGCAGGGCGGTGCAGCTGGGGCTGGGTCTCTGTACTTCCTACTGCCCTGACCCTGCTGCAGAGCTCAGGGGAGTGGGGGCAGGGTGGGGCTGAGTCCTGGGGAAGAGCGGGAGCAGCGCCCCGGGTGGCCGAAGGATGAATGACATCACTTCCCGGCCGGAGCTGATCAAAGCCGCAGCGCCCCCTCGCACAGTGGCAGGAAGAGGGTTACACGTTTAGCCGGCGCCGGGTGGGCACTGCTTTTTGGCGCCCTAGGCAGCTGCCTAGTTTGCCTAGTGGATGCACCGGCCCTGATGGGATTCTGCACTTGTCCTTGTTGTACCTTATCCGATTTCTTTTGGCCCAATCCTCCAATTTGTCTAATACTAACATATTCAGACATCTTGTGGCAAGACACTGGTTGGGTTTAAAATTTTAATGTATAGTCTTACTTTGTTACTAATTCTGTGGAGAGAGAGATACCCCCATCAGGACTCCATCTCAGTTCTCGGAGGGGTGGGGGTTTAGTGGGTTACAATGTGGGAGGGGGGCAGCTACATCTGGGTACTACTAAAGAACATCAGAATGGCTATACTGGATAAACCAATGGTCCACCTAGGCCAGCATCCTATCTTCCAACAGTGGCCAATGCCAGGTGCTTTAGAGGGAATGAATAGAACAGGTAATCATAATGTGATCCATCCCCTGTCACCCACTCCCAGCTTCTGGGAAACAGAGGCTAGGGACACCATCCCTGCCCATCCTGGCTAATAGCCAGTGATGGACCTATCCTCCATGAACTTATCAGAACCCTGTTATAGTTTTGGCCTTCACAACATCTCCGGCAAAGAGTGCCAGAGGGTGACTGAAGAAATACTTCCTTGTGTTTGTTTTAAATCTGCTGCCTATTAATTTAATTTGATGACCCCTAGTTCTTGTGTTATGTGAAGGAGTAAATAACATTTCCTTAGTCAATTTTTCCACAACATGATTTTATAGACCTCTATCATATTCCCCCTTAGTCATCTCTTTTCCCAGTCTTTTTAATCTCTCCTCATACGGAAGCTGTTCCATGCCCCCAATCATTTCTGTTGTCCTTTGCTGTACCTTTTCCAAATCCAATATCTTTTTTTGAGATGGGATGACCACATCTGCATGCAGTATTCAATAAGTGGGCATACCATGGATTTATATAGAGGCAATATGATATTTTCTTCCTTATCGATCCCTTTCCAACATTCTGTTTGCTTTTTTGACTGCCGCTGCACATTGAGTGGATGTTTTCAGAGAACTATCCGCAATGACGCCAAGATCTCTTTCTTTAGCGGCAACAGCTAATTTAGATCCCTTCATTTTATATGTACAGTTGGGATTATGGTTTCCAATGTGCTTTACTTTGCATTTATCAACATTGAATTTCATCTGCCATTTTGTTGCCCAATCACCCAGTTTTGTGAGATCCTTTTGTAGCTTTTTGCAGTCTGCCTGGGACTTAACTATCTTGACGAGTTTTGTATCAGCTGCAAATTTTGCCCCTCACTGTTTACCCCTTTTTCCAGATCATTTATGAATATGTCTCAGTACAGCGCTCTGGGGAACACCACTATTTACCACTCTCCATTCTCACCATTTATTCCTACCCTTGGTTTCCTATCTTTAATTATGACTTTTCTTATCTTAATCACCCTATCTCTGTTTGTAAACAAACTCCCCACCCCCAGGGTGGAAGCCGGGAGCAGCACAGAACTCATCACATTCCAGCTGTGTGCAGTTAAGCGATCCATCTGGGGCTGTGAGCAGACCTCAGGTACAAAACTTGGGGGGTAGGGTAGAGGCCCCCTGCCCTCCCTAAATGGCACCCCTGCAGTTAGGGTTTCTCCTGCTAGCAGGGTGGTATTTCCCCTTTGAGCCGGAAACAGCCGAGACAAGAAATTTGTGCAAGTCACTCAGGAGAGGTTCTTAACACGATGCAGAGAATAGACTCTTCCCCAGCCTCAACTGCTCTCCTGGCTACTCACAGGCATGGCGTAGGTTCACCCCATTTCCTGGTGGTCTCCTTTTTCACACTGCTACCAAAAATGGCCAGCCCACATACAGGCTTTGGGCCGCTGTGCTCAAGAAAGGGCTCTCCCCGCCCCATCATGAATCTGCTCATGGAAAGCTACTGGCAAACAACACACCCTTTATAATACAATGGGTGCTTGGTTCTTCCTGATTTCTGTCACCTGCAGCTTCCCAAGAGGAAGGTTGGTTTTGGATGTGATCAGTTCAGAGACTCTAGCCTTAGGATGAATGCTGTAGGCAAGCTGCTCTTACTACTTGCCTCTCAAAAGTTTTCTTAAAGTGATTTTTAATCCAGTGACTCAGTTTGTTTAGGGGGGGGTCCACTCTCTGCACCCAAACCCTGATCATATCTGATCACAGCTCTGGAGTTCCTGCCTGGTTGTACTCATGTCTCAGTGTCCTACATGGAAGGGAAACTGATTACAGAGGGTGTCCTGATATTCCAACCCTGCTGCGAGGTGACTTTCACATGGCAGTGCCCCAGAGCTCCTGTCTTGTGGCTTTCATTTTTGTGGGACAGGTAAATGAGCTGGAATTCTCCTTTCATGTGTTGAGCCTTACTTTAAATTTGCTAGATATGGTGGGCTGTACTCATGGCCTAGAGTAACTAGCCTAACTCAGAACTCAAATGCTCCCTAATGCAGCCAGTTCCTTTTGGGTCCTTTTACCCTGTCAGTCCCAGGCCATGGTTAATACATTCTAAGCTGGCAAGAGCCCTCTGGCTCCACTGATTGCATTTTCGCAGCTATTTAATTTTAGGCTTGTTATAGCTTCTGTGAGAGGTCATTGGTGTGGGTTACTTCCTTTCTCTGCAGTAACTTTTGTGTGTTCGCTTGTTACTCTGTGAGGTTCCTGGGTTGTCAGAGCTCCTGGTGATTAGTTGTCCAGAGCAACAACGCAGGAGAACTAGATAAATTCATGGCGGATAGGTCCATCAGTGGGTATTAGCCAGGATGGTGTCCCTAGCCTCTGTTTGCCAGAAGCTGGGAATGGGTGACGGGATGAATCACTTGATGATTACCTGTTCTGTTCTGTTCATTCCCTCTGGGGCACCTGGCATTGGCTGCTATTGGAAGACAGGATATTGATCTAGATGGACCTTTGTCTGATCCAGTATGGCTGTTCTTATGTTCATTTTGCCTAATTTGGAGCAACTGCTCTGACCAAACCCTTTTTGAATCTCTTGGTAAGCTATGTATTATTGGCATGAGACACTGTCAGGCTTCAAGTTAGCAGGGTCACACTAAGGCCACCCCAACCTGAGTGTGCTGGTTCTTCAGGTCCAACCTGGTTTTGTGTTCGTAGTGTTAGAAGGCTTTGGCTGGGGAATGGGGGGCTACTTCAAGAAATGTGCCGGTGGGGGTTTCTGTTTTAAAATCAACTCTTCTCCATCAACTAGAGTGGATATGAATAGCCATAAAATGTGATTTGTCCAGAGCAGTGGCTCTAGCATAAGAGCTAAGAATGAACTTCCACAGGAGTGAACTAGTTTGTGTGGTAAAATAGCTGACATCTCTATTGGACAAAATAGCCCCTTCCCAGTCTGAATGGAACAGCTGTGACAAAGTCTCGGACTCAAACCTGAGACAATCAAGGTAACAGGAAAAGAAACAGTGCAAGCCCAGTGGCAGGAAGTAATGACAATGCACAGAGCACTCCCCTGGGGCGCTTAGTGGGGCCAGGGCCTTCCTCTTGGAGAACACCCACTAGAGTTCTATAGGAAGGCAGGGTGTAAAGATACCTGCACTGCTTATGCTGAATGCAGCTTCCTGATTCTGAAGTGTAATAGCAACTCCCTGCCGCTGGGGTAGTTTTAGCTACCCAGTGAATTGAGGTTAACGTGATGTGGACAAGCTCAGGCTGCTGGCCAGTGATCTCTGAGCAGCATTGGACCACCTCTGAAGCTGGTGCCAGCCCTAAAGAAAAGCCTGTTCCTTGCTGCATGTCAGGTGAGGACCATCCCTGTGCTGCCACCCAGCAGCCAGCAAGACTTCTGCCTGCAGTTTCTTGACTAGCGCAAGCCTTTACCAACAGCTTCGGGCTTGCAGAAGCTGGCCAGAAGCCTACAGGCAGGCTGGTGAAACATGGCAGGACTGAGAGTGATGAAGCTCTCCTGGCACTGCAAACACCCACAATGTGTATTGAGACGGGAGGGAACTGTTTCGCTGGCCTGCCCCATTTAATTTTATGGCTCAGTGGTAGTGGTGCTGCTGGCTGTAACATCTGCCCCCTTTTGTCACTGCACATCTTCATGACCCTGTTCCTAACACCCACTGCACCCTTCCCAAATACCAGCTTAGGTCACTATTCTAAGTTGTAGCTTCTTTGTTTCCTGCCTTTGCCCAAGCACAGGGATGTGTGTGTGGTGGGGAAGGGGGTGATCCCAGAACCAGAAAGAGGACAACACTCCAAACTGTCACAACTCATAGAAAATAAGTGGTACATTTATTGAATCCACTGAATGCTACTTCTAGCCTTTATTCAGACACTTGTGCTCAGCTTCGAGAGCCAAGAATTTCTCCATTATCATCATTCAATGTGAATGACACTATACATGAATCCAGTGCAGGAAGTGGGGCTCTCCTCTGTTCTAACGGGGGAGATGGGTTTCTATTTCTGTTCCTCTTTTTGGTTGCACAAGGTTAGCCCTTCCTTAGGGCACATGGAATAAAATACTATATACATTTACATACAATGGTAAATGCACCATTTAAAAATACACAATACCTAAGGCTCAATGGAAAAGCTTGGTTGAAACAGCTTCTCTCCCCTTTAGAAAAAAGGAGACCGCAGAAGTTGCCATACATTGTATTCCTGTCTGGGTCAGATACCAGTCCAAGTGACCCCTGCCATACTATAAGGCTGGAGAAGAAGTAAAAAAGCTGTTTCCAGAGCCACTCTCCTCCGTGCAGCGAGATGGGGGAAGTTGGAATTTAGATGCCCATGGCTCAGTGAGAAAGAAAACAACCACTCCAGCCAGCAGCAGAGGCAAACACGCAGGGACTAGCTCTTCCAAATTCTTATCAGAATTAGTACCCTGCGACTGCCTAGCATTCTGGGTATTCCCTTTCCAAGTGTGGCCAACCTCACAGACTGCAGAGGAAAGCAAAACCCCCCAATGCAGTTGGACAATTGTCTCCGCAATAGAAGCCCAAGCCCCAGCCCCAGCCCCTTGGCAGCGGAGCTGCTTTTACTCTCACTAAGCTATCTGGCTTGGTACAGGGGGTGAGTGTGTCTCTTCCCTTTCAATTCACAAGGACCAGGGCCTTGTTCTTTTGCACTGAGGGAGGATCAACAAGCTCTGCTCTGAGTGCCCTGGATCTTGCCTAGATTGCTCCTACTCAGCTTTTCAGCAGATGACATCCTCAGGGGCGCCAGATCTGGAGAAGGGACTGGATAGATAACTAAGTGCTAGTCAGAGGATGTTCCTGTTTGACTCAATTCCTCTCTCACTGATGTCCACTGAAGAAACTAGCTTTGTGGCCTGGTATCTTCTGGCACCTGCCATCAAGTGGATGCTGATGCAGCCCCAGAAAAGAACTGGACCAGTCTGCCCAGTATCAGTAATGCCTAGGAAATACGTAAGAGAGGAAGCAGCCACCAGGACACGATCCTCAGTTATATTCAGAAACAGCAGCACGGCTTAGAGCCTTTCCAACCAGGGGCCTTAGGCTAACTCACCAAGCCCATTCCCAGGAGGAGGTAGAGGACATATCTGGCAACCTCTATTCCCCTCCCTCTGGAAGACAACAGACAGATTCTTTATGACAACTTCTGCAAGCCTCTGCCCCTTCACCTAGCTCCCTGGACACACTATCCCAAGGGCACAGCTGCAGGCAGGGCCAGGCAGTCCACTTTACAACACCCCCCTCTCTGAGCAGGGAGCCTCAGCTGAGGATGCTGTTGAGAAGAGCCACACAGGTGACCAACAGCAGGACCCGTCTCCAAAGAACAAACTCCACATGCAAGGCGGAAGAGGGAATGTTGCCTTTCATGGCTGGCATTAAAACTGCTCCCCAAAGCTGGGGTTCTCCCGATTCCCCCCTCTCGGGGCTGCAGCGGCTCTTCCTGGTACGACAGTGCAATTACCACCTTGCTATCAACAACAAAGGCCAGGTGCTGCACCCAAACCTGTCACAACTGGAAGACATTAACCCTCTAGGTACTGAGCATTTCAGACAGTAGTATTATAGGAGTCTGAAAAATCCCAGTCTTTAAAGGGTTAGCATGCTCTCCTCTGGGTGGGGGGGAGGGAAGCCCATGGATGTTCCCTGGGATCACAGTTCTCCTGGAGAAGCCGCTACACTTTGTGCCTTTCTTACAAAAGTTTTGTAACAAACCATTAATATTTAGGGGCTTGATTCGCACTGGGTGCAACAGTCTCGCTGGACCCCCTGCAATGACACATCCCGGGCAGCAGTGGGAGGGGGAAGGGCTCCTGTCACCATCCCAAGATCCTGGCTGCTGCTCTTTTCTGTAGTTTTTTGACTGACAAGAGATGCCATCGTAGTGTATTTTCCACCTGGCTTTTATACCCATGGATAGACAGCACCATGCATCCCGCAGCTCCGGGGCAGGGACTTCCACCTCAGCTCCAGCTGGAATTCTGCAGTTCCTCGCGGAGCCACGTGGGAAGAGGCTGCCCAAGTCTGTTCATCAGCTTGGATAACTCGATGTTGTACTCCCGATAGAAGTCTGTGAGGAACAGCCGAGACTGCAGGGGGAAGAGAGAGCACACGTTAGCGAGGGGTACACGCAATCCTGTCACTGCCCTGAAAGGCATCGCTCTAGCACTTACTTAAGGCCCTGTCTGCCGTCACTGGCATGTAGTCCCCATATCTCAGAAAATCCACTGACACTGCACCTGTCCCTAATTGCCTGAGAGCGCTCTCCTTCAACCCACTATGCCTCTTCCAAGCAAGGCACATTTCCCCAAGCTGGTTACTCACCGAGGAATCCATGTCAGGGTACTTCCTTCCTTTACTCTTTCCCAAGCATTTAGACTTCCCTCCATCTAGCACCTGGCACCAAAATCCTTTTGCTTCATCAAACCTGAAAGGGACACACGTAGTTAAAAATCCTAGGGAAGGAAACGTGTGTCTGTCTGTGTTACTGATCCCTTAGCTGACTCCAGTTCAAAGATTTTAAAATCGAATTCGTTTCTCACTTTGTTTCCTTTTTTGACACGCCTCTTGGCTTTGACAATGAAAAGCACTAGCTTTACTTTTGGTTATAATGCATGTCAAGTAAATTTCACGTTCAAGTTCAGGCAAAATGTTGTGGTGACCAACAGGAAAATTTAATTTTGGAGGCTGTTTCCATAGGAACTTACACCAATAGAATTTTTTTTTAACAATTACTTTAAAACAAACAAAAACACCCTACCTTAATGCCACATTGATTTGACAGCTTCCCATGGTGCTCAAAGCCTCAACTCATGGGCACCTTATGTTATTAAAATACAGATCTAATACAACTACAAAAACCACCATCTTGTCCCTAAAATGGGCCACATATCAACTTACCACACAAATTCTCAGGGTTGCAAGCTGACCAACACTGCTTCCTCCTCCTCTGCTGCTTCAGCAGTTGAAGGTCATCAGTGACCCACGGCAACTGAAGATGGAGGAGTGTCTAGAATTCCACTAATCCATCACAGCTGCTCCAACAGAGAGCCAAACAGTCCTAATCCCTGACATTTCTCTAATGCCATTCTCCCAAGTGAAGTCTCACTGCACTGTTTTGGGGGGGTGAAGTGACATGTCCGCTGTTACACAGGCCATATCTGTGTCTGAGCTGGAAAAGGAACCCAGACCTGACCCTGAAACCTTTACCACTAGACAATGCCTCTGCTAACAATTTCTCAGGCATATCTGGGACCCAATCAGATCCATCAGTCTCCTACAGTGAAAACAGGCCCTCCAGACCAACACCAATGGGAGAGGTCCCTCACCTTATAATAATATATAGCCTACCAGAGATTCAAAAAGGGTTTCACCAGAGCAGTTGCTCCAAATTAGGCAAAATCAACATAAGAACGGCCATATTGGGTCAGACCAATGGTCCATCCAGCCCAGTATCCTCTCTTCCGACAGTGGCCAATGCCAGGTGCCCCAGAGGGAATGAACAGAACAGGTAATCATCAAGTGATCCATCCCCTGTTGCCCATTCCCAGCTTCTGGCAAACAGAGGCTAGGGACACCATCCCTGCTCATCCTGGCTAATAACCACTGACGGACCTATCCTTTTTGAACCCTGTAATAGTCTTGGCCTTCACAAAAATCCATTGGTAAAGAGTTCCACAGGTTAACTATGTGTTGTGTGAAGAAATACTTCCTTTTGTTTGTTTTAAACCTGCTGCCTATTAAGTTCATTGTGTGACTCCCTAGTTCTTGTGTTATATGATGGAATAAATAACACTTCCTTAGTCAATTTTTCCACACCAGTCATGATTTTATAAACCTCTATCATATCTCCCCTTAGCTGTCTCTTTTCCAAGCTGAAAATCCCAGTTTTATTAATCTCTCCTCATATGGAAGCTGTTCCATACCCCTAATCATTTTTGTTGCCCTTTTCTGTATCTTTTCCAATTCCAATACACCTTTTTTGAGATGGGCAACCACATCTGCACGCTGTATTCAAGATGCGGGTGTACCATGGATTTATATAGAGGCAATATGATATTTTCTGTCTTCTTATCTATCCCTTTCCTAATGATTCCCAAAATTCTGTTTGACTGCCACTGCACATTGAGTGGATGTTTTCAGAGAACTATCCACAATGACTCCAAGATCTCTTTCTTGAATGGTAATGGCTAATTTAGACCCCATCATTTAATATGTATAATTGGGATTATGTTTTCCAATGTGCACTACTTTGCATTTATCAACATTGAATTTCATCTACCATTTTGTTGCCCTGTCACCCGTGTACCCCCTTTTCCAGATAATTTATGAGTATGTTGAACAGCACTGGTCTCAATACAGACCCCTGGGGGACAACACTATTTACCTCTCTCCATTCTGAAAACTGACCATTTATTCCTTGGTCTAGATGAAGTTGTGATCTGACTTTCTACCCCTTGTATCTCCCAGCCCAGCCCAAAAATAAGATCCAGAGCGTGTCAAACTGCAGGAATGAAGCCAGCAAAAGTCCCAGTCCGTTGGTGACACCATGAGGTACTGAACAAAAACTCAAGGAATTACGGTTCCAGGTAATTTCAAAATCCACACCAACAGCACCTGATGACTTCAGTGTCAATGTCAAAAAGGGCTCAGCTCAGGGAGGGATCTAGGAAAACATTAGGTTACTTCTCCATCAGCAAGCGGAGGACACCACAAAACGAGACAACGAGTCCAAATATGGGGTGCTGTACTGCCTACAAAAAGAATAACCAGACCTCTCTACCATCCCACACTCATTCTTGGCTCACGTGAAGCTAAGTGACAGGTGGATGAAGGGAAGCAGCATTTTCCAGCCAGCTCTGGGAATCAAGTGCTTAAGCATGTTGTTAGATCACATAAGCACAGTAGAGAAGCTTCTTTAAACTCACCACACTAGTCAGGCCAACTTGCAATCACTTCTCAAGAGAGGCCAGGGACAGAGCTCATGACAGACGACCTCCCCTTTCACCTGAGGTGAAGGTCACGAGCAAGCTCACAATGCAGCTGCCTAGCAATATTAGCAGTGGTACGTACATACTGACGAATCCTTACTTGAGGACCTGGGTGTAGTTAAAGAGTGGTGTCACCCCCAGAAACTTCTGGATGTTCTCCATGATGGAAGCAGGGCTGTGCCGGAGCTCCTGGCCATCCACAATCAGAATCTGAAACAACAGAGAGTCCACAAAGCTTTCAGTGTGAGCTAAGTCAGCCTCTGGCACCAACCCAGAGAGCAGCCCCTCTGGAACAGGACATTCCCCCAAGAGCCCTAACGCTTGCGGCTTCCAAACCCTCAAAGAGCCTGAGGGGAAAAGCTGGTGCTGTTCCTCTTTTGGGTGCTGGCCCTTTGTTGCTGGAGACAGAAGAGTCCTAACGTGACCAACATTTACAACATAAAAGCAGCTCAAAACAGGGTGTCAAAATTTTCAGCCTGTAACTGAGCACCTAGCCTCAGCGCTAGCCATCAATTACATGTATCCTTTTTGACAGCCGATGCTTCCTTTTTACATGACAGTCTGCTCTGGCTCATTTCCCTCCCTCGGAGGATGACAGACAATAACCATCAGCCTCTTTGTACTAGCTGGACTATCCATTAAAGAGGAAATCGTCCAAAAGAAATGACTTGGGGTGAGTTCTGGGGAGCTGGGCCCTAGACCACTCCAGATCCAGTAATGAAACAGAAGCACTTGGCCACAAAAGGAGATGGCTTCTGGCAATTTTGATGGTAGGTCAGGCACTGTGGGGAAGCAATGTATCTCTTTGCAGACACTGAAGTTGACCTCAGAGTGGGCGATCTGCTTTTCCTCTCCTGCTCTGGGATGGGTATCTTCTAGTGGCAGGAGGAGGTGATGGAAAGGCCCCTGCCCCTCACCTGTGGAGTCACTCTGTGATAAACCTGCATGGACGCAAACCATTGTAAAGAACTGTGGGGTATTTGCAAAGAGTTTGAGAATCCTTCTCCATGCAATTAGTTCATTGTCCAGGGCAGACCTGGACAAGGCTCTGCTCCTTGTGTGCCCAGAATCCCAGGCCAAAGAAATAGTTACAGGAAGCTGTGCTCCAGTTCTGTACAACCATTACACCATTAGCGGTTTTTGGGGGGTTCCTCTTTGGAGAAACCCAGTTTTTAGGACCAGTTCTTTCTTAAAGGGGCCATTAAACCCACCCAGTCACTCTGGCCGTGAGACTGGAAGGTGCAGGGCTTCTGCAGGTGCACCATTTCAGCCAGGAAAGGGGGGCAATCTTATGCAAATCTCTGTTGCCAGTTATGGTAGGTAGCTTTTGTAAAGCAAAGTGGAGAGATCCCATTGCTTATATAGGGAGAGAAAGTCTAGGCTTCCAGCTCAGACAGCAGGTCACGGGTCCACAGTACAGTCGGTTGTAGCCCACGAAAGCTTATGCTCTAATAAATTTGTTAGTCTCTAAGGTGCCACAAATACTCCTGTTCTTTTTGCGGATACAGACTAACACGGCTGCTACTCTGAAACCAGTAATAATGAGGATTCAATGAATAAATAATATATCGCTTTCCATCCATCACTGCCACAGGACTCTCCCAAATCACTTTGTGTTGTTATCCCGTTTACTGGGTGACTGCAGCTCAGCAGATCTGTGACTTGGGCAGTGGCTCCACACTGTCAGCCCTGTGCTCGCTCCACTCAAAGCCCAGTTGCCTGACCTCAGTTCTGCAGATCTGTGCTTGTAACTAAGCCCTTTGCTTCTCTCCCTGATGGACCGTGCCCTCTGTGGTGTCCTGGAGAAGCAGTGTTTCCTGGGTCGGTCTTCCAAAGGGGACATATCCATGTCCATTTGCATAACTAGCTCCTTCAGGGTATGTCTTCACTGCAGAGTTTACTTGGGTGTTGTCCCTAACCCCACTCCTGTCCTCCCACGAACGCTCTGAGTTGAATGGTGCTTTAAACCCAGGCTAGCTGGTTTCTCTGGGAGCATGGGCTAGTGAGCTGCTGCTGCATTCAGACTGGTAACCCGCCCACTTTGCAGAGAGGACACAGACGAAATCACTTCAGTGCCAGTAGGCCTCCAGCACCTCCCACTATTCTCCAGAAGGGCAAACGTTCTCCTTCAATTGACTAGAAAAGGACGATAGAGAGGCTCAGCTTACTGCAGCGCTGAGAATCATGGGATATGCCCCCCAAAGTAAGTGACACACACAAGGGACAGCAGCACCAGTGAGGATGCAGTAACTTGAGTAGGGCTTTGCAGTGTGGTTGCTCACCCCCAGGCCAGGCTAACCTAAGTGCCGATCACCCAAGTTAACTCTTCAGTAGGGATAGCCACAGTCTTATTCTAAAGAGTCCTAGTCCCTGCCCGGTGTGGTAGCCGGTGCTCTGATGCTCATTCTGTAGAGAAATGCAAAGTCAGCCAGAGAGGAGAGCTCAGGTGATTTTGTACAGAGCAGGAGGGTTCCCAAGTTCCATGTTTTCACAGTGCTCCAGGGTGGTTGTGATTAGTTCGGCTGAAGAGTTTTCTTGCTGTATTATGTCCTGACATCATTTTAAGTGCCGTCCTCTGCTAAGAGGGTATTGTCCTCTCTTCACTCTCATCTGCTCTAACAGTCCAGTCAGCCTGAATATGAAGGCAGGGAGATGTGAGCCCAGGGATGTGCCCGCACACTTTATGCAGGACAGATTCCTTCCACCATCTCCCTGGCTCTGACCACCAGATGAAAGCCCTAGCCTGTCTCCTGCGCTGGGGATGCTGCAGTTGCTGCATTTGAATTAACTGGCGGGGTTTGCAAGCTGTTGGCTTAAGGCAGAATTTTCCAGGAGATGTGGAGGGAACAGCCCAGGGCCGGGGCTCTCCCTGGACAACATACTGCCTTAGAGGAGTTAATATCTGTTACTCCTCCTCACTGCAATTGCACAACTCATCTGCTCTTGTCAGGCACTGGCTCTGCTCCGACAGCAACCAGGCCATGTACACAGATTCTGGCTTTGTTTTACCTTTGCCTGTTAGTTCTATAGCAGTACTACGTTTTCTGGGAAGCAGAACCACTGCCTGGTTTTAGAGCTATTGCTGCTGCAGGGAATAAGTGCCTGAAAATGCATGATGGGATCTGCTGGTTCATACACCGCCTGAGAATAACTCTGGCAACAGAAGCCAAGATCCAGGCAATCTTGCTTTACATCTGTCAGAAAAGAGAAGTTGCTAAAATGTTTTCTGACTCCAAGCACACGGGACAGTTTGTAAATGTCTTGTCACAATGAAGGCAGATTCAGAGACGGAAACAAGCTGTAGTTTGTGTTGACTGACCTAGAAATCTATAAACACAAGGCAGGCTGCACTCCAGAATTCAGTAGTCTGCGGACTCCAGACACCTCTGCAATAAAATCCACACTCAGCAGCGCTACAGGCTTCATGAGATGGGGAAGAAACAAGTGAATGTGACAAGCAGCAGAGCCCAAAGCCTCTGGTGAAAGCTATGGCATCACGGCAGTAGCTGAACACCCATTGGGCATCGTGAGTGTCCCAGGGGGACACACTGCCAAGATAAAAGGAAGAGAACCTAATGCTGCAATAAGCTAGTGCTTCCTGGACCTCCTAACGCTGCTGTGCCGTCTGGGCGCTCAGCCACCTACTACACACAGGCATTTGGAAACCTGTAGACACTCGATCCTGACTGGATAGACACAATGACTAACAAATCAGCCTGATTCTCTATCAGGTAACATGGAAGGAAGGAAGCAGCAGTTTATATCCCCCTCCCCAAAAAAGAGTCATAAGCTAAAGTGAAGAGAGAATGAGACAGATGGGGAGTTTCCTGTCTCTACAGCCACCAAGCTGAACTCCGAACCTATTCCCTGTGCACTATGCTTCACTCGGGACTGTGACACCCAGCCCCTGGGCACTAGGGCTTTCTGACCCTCTTCCCCAGAGTTGCTGATGTCCGATCAGCGCTGCTCATTAATCCAGAACAACCTTCTGCCAATTACTAGAGACACTGCCAAGCGCAGCAGAGCTCTGTACCTGCCCAGAGGGGTAATACGTCAGCCATCGTTCCAGGTGAGTCGAATACATTCCAGGGAGCAGGCATCGGCTCTGCAGGTTGCGCAGCTCCAGGTGGGCCTGGGACTTCGCAGTAATCACCTGGTAGAAGGTGTAATTGAGAGCCACAGGGTCGCTGTGAGCGCGCTGGTGCTGGGAAACAAACACATAGTTAGGAGGTCAGAACACAAAACTCTGCCCTTCCCTAGCCAATGTGCATGCAGCCCCCTGCTCTCTGCTGCCCTTGGGCAGCACAAATACACCCCAGTTCTCCTGTGAACAAATCCACAAGCTCCCATCAGTACTAACCTACCCCGGCCTCCTGGAGAAATCCATTCACACAGGGGCTGCATGCCACACTGGAGCAGATCTCCAACCCTCCCCAGGGCCCCCCGGGAAGGAGCGATACCTGGTACCAGGAGTAGGCTCGAATGGCCGGGTTGATCAGAATGGAGATGATTTTGGCTCGTGGAAGCAGGGCCGCGCCACGCTTCGGTACCACCTCTGTGTCAAAGTAATTGGCACTTTTCTCAAACATGAAGTCTGTGCTGGCGTTGGAGGGGATGGGGAAGAATTCCATGTACCTGCCAAGCAGAGCAAACCAGGAGAGCCTGATGGCACACGTGTGGGGAGCACAACCCAGCAGAAAAGTGGCACAGGGCAAACCAGCCTGCTGGCACCTCAGAACTGTAGAGGGCATGCAGAGGAGCTTGGGGTGGCCAGGCTCATGGAGAGTCAATGAGGGGATGACGTAGAACGGGGATAGTGGGGAACAGGGGTAGGGTCTGATGTGGAGTAGGGGGGGATGCAATAAGAGGCAAAGACATTGCCCTGCATGTAGGGCACAGCACCCTCGGGTGGTGCCTGGAACTAGCTGGGGATGCAGACAGGCCTCAGGATTATTCCCAGGGTCTCTGCTTTCAGTAAAAACAAGTGAGCCTTTAGCTGTTGTGTGAAGAACAAAGGACGGCCCAGTAGGTAGCATGTAGCCGGGACTTGAAGATCTGGGTTCAATTCCCTGCTCTGCCACTGACTTGCTGTGTGACCTTGGTCAAGTCACTTAGTCTCTCTGTGCCTCAGTTCCCCCCTCTGTACCACAGGGACATGCGTCCTGCCCTGCCTCACAGAAGCGCTGTGAGGATAAACACACTGTAGATTGTGAGGTGCTCATATACTAGGGGAATGGGGTACATACAAGAACCCTAGGGCTTGTCTTCACTGGAAAGTTATCTTGAGTTATATCCGTATAACTCCTTGAGTGGATACTTTCGTTCTGGATAAGAGTGCTCACATAGGGGTCTACACTGGTATAACTAGAGCAGTATAAAAATTCCCCATGTAGACAGACCGACCGACCAAACCAAGTGTAGGAGACAAAGACATCTGCTTGGGTCCGTAGAGAGCGTGGAACAATAACTCTGAGGTGTGAACCACCCTGTTCATCTCAATGGGCACTAATTCAGGCCTTGTCTACACTAGCAATACTGGAATAGCTATACCGGCAAACCTTCCTAGTGGAAATGCAGCTTATGCTGCTAAAGGAGTGCTTTTGCTGGTCCTGGGTGGTCCAACCTTTTCACTGCTGCGGGCCGCATGCAGTTGTCTGGAGCTCTTCCACGGGTCATGTACATAAATACGTGCTCTACAAAATGACGTCCTCCAAGCAGCGTGACCTCGCATGTACTGTGCGTGCAAGTCCATGCCACACGGAGGACGCCATTTTGTCGAGCAGATCTGTTGCAGGCTGGACACGTTTGGGCCTGGAGAGACTCTGCCCGTGGGACACATCCGGCCCACAGGCCACGAGTTGGACCACTCACTGCTTCACCAAACAAATTTAGCTATACACTGGCGAAAGGACTTATACTGGCAACCCCTTTTTAGTATTAGATTTTTGCCACATTTGTAACTATGCCAGCAAAACCTTTGTGTGTAGCCCAGACCTCAGATGCCAGTGAGACTACGTTAAACGTGAACACATCAGAGCATGTGACAAAAGAGAGCAAGTATCGTATGGAGATTTCCCCAATCTGCTCGTGGGCAGACTTTCACAGCACGTGCAGGGTTGCAGGGGCATGCGTGGCTTCATTTCCCTAAACGGGGGCTCTGCTTTCAAAGTTTAGGAAAACCTGGGCTAAGGGCTTATAGCAGGGGTGTAGCTGGGGCGTAGCAAGTGGAGAAACAGAGCGAGCGCTTGTGAGACTGTGAGCACCCAGAGGTGCAACGTGCCAGACAGAAATGGAGGGCTTGCTAAAACGCTTGAGGTGGATGGAGCCCAGGGACATTCAGGAGGACACGACATGACGACTGATCCCTATAGGGGAGCACAAGAGCTAGGATGCTTACCAGTCAATTCCTTTATGATAGTTGGGCCCATTGAAGAACTGGATCTCTTCGAAGGTGGCTGGACTCGGGAAGTTACTAGTGACCGCTGGGTGCATGGTCAGGAAGAAGTGCACAGCTGTTGTGCCTACAATGAGCAACAACAATTAGTGGAGCTGGGGTCACCCAGGGTAATGAGAGAGGCTGGCGTCTCCTGACGACTCTGCTGAGCACAGTGAGAGCTTCCAGCATGCCGATGGTCAGCCAAGCCAGGTACCCTTACCACGCAGCGACAGTGCGGCACGGGCACAGGGCACAAGAGCTGCCAGGGGCATAGGCACACCAGCAGAGATCCCCAATGGCTCATGTGAGGGGGATGGCAGCTGGGCTGGGAAGAGGTTCGCTCATAGGGCTGAGGCCCCCATTCTACACAAATGGCTGGCACCTGTCATTGCTGGAAGTGGCTCCTCAGCTCAATACCTCTCTAGCCAAATCACTGCCCACAGCAATCCCAGATGAGTTACTGACCCCATGTTCAGACCTGGTCCCAGATCCCTGTGCAGTGTGTCAGCGTGAGAGGGCGCAGACCTGTTACTGGGAAGGCACTAGAGGAGCACATCGGCTCGGCTAAAGAGGGTAAGGACTTCTGTGGGTAAACCAAGAGCCTGCACTACTTCTCGCAGTGACTTAGCAGGTGCGGCTCTTCCCTGCGAGTTCGGATTATGCCCCAGCAAAGTGGTAGGAGCATTGTGCTGATGGAGGTGCTCCACTTGGGTGGGACAAACCAGAGACCCTAATCACATGTGATCACTGGCTGCTGCTGTACAGATCTACGAATGGTCCGTCTGCACAGGAGGCAGCCGAGTCAGGAGTTTATCTTTAAATGGGCTATACAATTACCAGTTTTCTGGGGTCCAACGACAAGGAATTTGGGGAGCCGGTCACATGTTTTCTCTTTGGACCAGATATCCTTGTGCCTCTTATCGTCACAGGGATTCTGCACAACAGAGTGAACAGGATTTAATATTAGTGAGGGAGCTGATGAGGGCTCCTGCGGATAGAGCATAACACACAAGGAACAATTCGCAACTACATCCCCATTCCGCTGAGTGCCGGCACGCTGCACTGCACAGACCAAGCCACGGGAACATCTTCCAAAGCACCCAAGTGATTTAGGAGGGTAGGTCCCTTTTGAAAGTGCTACCCGCAATTCCTGTCCAAAGTAACCAAGATGTGGGCCCATCATCACTGCTGGGCTGAGAAGCAATCCCTTCCCTGCTGCATCCCAGCACAGCAGCTCTGGCAGACTGACAACTCCATCACCACCTTCACTTCATTTCATCTGCTCATTAACATGCAGAGAACTGCTGTGCTGGGATGAAATGGAATAAGCATGTTTTTATTTAACCAACACGAATTCTATACTGTGAAATTATGTCAGGATAAGTCACATTAACATGCCTGCAAGCTCTTCCAGCCCCACGGACATTCCTCCCCCTCCCCAGTTACATCCTCAACTAGCCAAGTACCTGGGACCCCCTCCAGGCCAATGAGAGCTCTCTCTGTCCCCACAGCTCACACCAGGAGTGTGGCCCATCACTCCCTTCCCCCAACGTCCTATCTTTGGGATCTGGGGAGCGAGGCAACAAGGACCAAACCCCACGGCCATGCGTTCGACCCTTCTGGGCACTGGAGCGGCAGTGTCACCATGACAACGCTTCCCTCTTCATGTACCTTCCAAAGAGAAAGCAGCCTCCTGCAAGAGGCCACGGGGAGGAGTCCTGAATGGCCAAGGGAGATCAGAACAGCCTACTCACCTGCCACAGTGGGTTCTTCTCCTGGGGAAAGATTTCAAAGTACTTCTTTGCTAGCTGGACAGGAGGCAGAGTCTGCAGGCGAAGGTTGGTCCAGCACTGCACAAACTTGACCAGGCTCTCAAAAGTGTACAGCCCCAGCCGGTCGTTCCCATAGTTAGACAGGTGTGTCATGAAGATGCTGATCTGCAAACAGGGAACACAAGGAGCATTTACAAGTCAGGTAACAGCCCTGCGTCATCCCAGCCTGCTCTCTGCCACCCTTCTGCATCCCATCGCCAGACAGAAGCTGCTGGCTTCCCAGGTCTGCTCTGGCTATCTGAGCTGGCGAATGTGCATCTCTCCTAGGCTATGGGGCAAAGGCAAGAGAATATATTGTGCCCCCTGGATTACTGCTCTGCAATCCACACCTCTGCTCCAGGCAATGGGCACCGCGGGGAGAGGGAAGTGGGTTATTTTCCAAATAGCCCCAATTGGGCTAGTCCTGGAAAATCCCGAGTGCAGACCATGTGTGAATCAGAGTGCATTCTCTGACAAAGCCCCAGCGCAGATACTAGTGCCGCAGATAGCTGGAACAGGGAGCCTGCTCGGCCCTTACAAAACACTGACTGGTGGGGACAGGGCCTACCATGGTCTTAGCTACCTGGTCCTAGCTCTCCCGGCAAGTGTGCTGTGCATTCCCAGAGACAGCAACTCACCTCTCCTAGGAGCCCCAGACCCGGACACTCACAAGTCAAACACATTCCCATCCTGAACGAGCCACGGCTCCACATTCCAGGTGACCACAGGACAGTTTTGGATGCTAGGCTGAGGCCAAAGTAGTGATTTGTCCACAGTGACCCTTTTCAAGCAGTCAACAGCTTGGAAAGCCCCTGTCCAGGAGGGAATTGGGAGCAGAATGTCCTGTATGCTCAGAACTGGAATTCAGTTCTTCCTCCTCTTCCCATTGTTAGAGGGGATCACAAGCCCTGAGAGCAGGGCACTCCCTGCACTGGCTGCGGCATGTGCCAGCTTGAGCAGGGGACACTGAGAGCTGGGCAGGGGAGTGCTGAGGCTGGCTTTGGGTGTCAGGCAATGTCCTGGCAGAAGCAATCCAGGGCAGACTGGATGATCTCACAGGAGCATCCCAGATCCCGAGTCTGTGGGAAGCCAGCTTCGACTCACCAGCAGCGTAAGGAACAATCTTGGGTTCACTCTTTAAATCACTAAAAAATACACTGGGACCTTACGCTGCTGGTGAGGGAACAGACATCCTCCACCAACAGGTCCTCCCAGGGGGTGTGGGCATCCCCCTGCTGAACTTCTTGCCAACTTTTGGGCATGGGACCCTCCCAAAGCTCAGGGGCATATGCATATCCTCCCTAAACTCCCAGGAGGCACCTTCTGCCCACCAGGTTACAGGGCTCTGCAGAGCTGGTATGAGACGCTCTCAGACCTACAGCCAGCACGAGCTGGTGCATTCACCCTGCCTTGCTGAACCGCCTACTCCCGTCATTGCATTCGTTTGTCCCCCAGATAGTTTGCTGTTAAGAATTTTAGCGCTCGGCTGAAAGTGCTGCCAGCTCGAGTTCTGCACACGGCTTTGACGGCGCAGTCCCTGTGACGCTCCAATGCACTACCGGGCACAAATGCTGCAAGGCCAAAAGGTCAGCAGCACAGCAGGCAAGTCCCTCACTGGGAACACTGGGAAGGAAGCAGATGGTTTAGCACCCCAGGGTGCAAGAGGGGCCTGGGCAATCATGTGGGTACCCACTGCTGGAAAGCTGGAGGCAAATCACTGTGAGGCTCGGGGAGCAGGTCCACCTGGCAAGGTGAGAGGAACAGGCTCAGGAGTGGCTGTCCGTACATCAGGAGAAAGCATCCATTTCTCCAACTGCTTGGGGAGCCACTTGATAGACAGGGATCATTGCACAATGACCCCTTTCCTCACCACTGACACAGCCCTCCTGCACTGGGGGTGGGGATTCAATCACCACACCCGCTCACCCGGAACACTGCCTGCGTGACAAATGTGGCACACAGCGGGGGCAGTCAAATCTCCAGGCCTGCCATGACCAGTTCTGGTAACATCATTGCCCATAAATGGTCCCAAGCAAGAGGAATCGCAACCAGCCAAGCCAACCAGGACTTTGCAGGGCCACTGCCCTCCTCTTCCTACTGAGTCCGGCTGTCTTGTAACAGTATAACATGCATGCCCCATCAGATCAGCTCTGGTGGCCTGCCCTGCCCTGGGTGGTCCTGCCAACACAGCCCTGAGCAAACCTGCTGATGTAATCTATGACCAAGCCCTGCCTCTCAACTGACCCATGACTAGCTTGGCAGTAAGCCCCCATCTGCAGCATGGCATTATCTCCCCTGCTCAGCCCTGACAAGGAGCTGTAGACAGAGAAGCCTGGAGTTCAGAGAATAGATGATGAGGGAGTCTTTAGCAATATAAAGCAACAGCTGTGGGTACAGCAATGGCCTTAATGGCATGTAGTGTGAACAGAAGGGCCTGTGAGAAGTGCTCAGAAACATCCCCCTCTGCTGCTAGGAAATACAGCCAGGGCACGTGGCATTCCTGAAATTAAGGCTTGCTCACTAGTCAGAAGATCAAACATCATCTGTTGACACTGCAGAGTTATCCATACACCCAGGACTCCTGCACGTGGGCCACACTCAGGCGGGCTGGAAGCACCATAGAGGAGTGCAAAGAGGCTGTGCCCCCAGTCTGCTACGGATCACTGACGCGATGCGGGGCTGGCGGCTTTCTCCAAACACTGGGATGTCTCTATCACTGGGGTTGGAGAGCAAAGCTCTGGGCTCCCTCTGCAAACAGGAGCAGTGAAGATGTGCTGATAGCACAGCCCTCCTCTGCTTGCAGGGATGAAGGGAAATGAGGGAGAAATACCCAGCAGAAGGAAAGGTGCAAATACAGGAAGAGACTGAAGGGGCTCAGAGGAGGCTAGAGAGTCACAGTGGGGAGCCAAAGCCAAGGTGCACGGTGCTCTGGGGACAGTTTTATCTGCTAGAAGACACCACAGCCCTTGAGAGTTGCCAAGGCGGTGCCTGCAGTGGGCAGCCAAGGCCTGGCTGTACTGCAGCGGGGCTCTTGGAAGGGTGGAGTTCACCTTACACCACACTGAGGGCACCAGATAATCTGACAGACCGCGCGGCAGTGAGCTACAGAACTGAGCCTGTCCAGAGTGATGCCGATGATACGAAGACTGACTCTCTGGACACAGGCTTGTGTATCTCCTTCTGCTGAAGGGGACAGATAAGGCGATGACAACTGTTAACGTAGGTGGATTTGCTGGCTGTGTAAAGGTAACGGCCTCAATCGTGGCCAAAACCTGACTTCAGAGCTGAAAGCAGGAATCTTTACAGCTTGAGCTAGAAAGTCAGGCTGGGGCTGTGGAGCAGGTACAGCAGGCTGCATAACACACACTGACCAGTGGGTTACAGGAACAGTTACATTATTGGTGGGTCAGTCACAGCCTGTGATCGTGTCAGGGACCCAGCGTGTGTTATAAGAATTTATCATCACACTCCCAGCCCTGCCTCTAGCACCAGAGCTGAGATAACAGGAGGCAGGTGGCTGAATAGAGGGCTGGATTTCCCACAGTGCTGCGTTCCAGCCAAGTCAGAGGGAGGTGCTGCAATCCAGACCCACAGGCCCCAGGAGCAGACAATGCACCACAAGAACAGTAGCATCACTAACGTATCTGACAAATCCTGCAAATCAAGTGAGGTGCCGAAGGATGGGAGAAGGGGTCCTATGGGTTCCACTTGTCCACTGGACAGATGTAACCCAGTAACCCCTGATCTCTCAGCCTGACTGCCACCACAGGCAGTATTGGAAACAGGAGTGCAAGTAGGGTGGTACCCTCCAGTATGCAGTAACAGCAAAAGATTTTTAGCGGGTATGGGGTACTGGAAAGACTTGGGGCTAGCCCCCACCACATAACAGCACAATACATATCCTAACAAACTTAAACAAAGGCTTTGTTTAAGTTTGTTAGCATATGTATTGTGGTTAAAGAATGAATGCCCTCCCTAGCTGCATTCTGCTCCTCTACCCGTACCCACGAAAAATCTCTTGCTGTTACTGCGTACTGGAGGGCTGTTAAGTTGGTCAGGAGTCCTCAAGAGGGCAGGAGTGGGGGGGACGGAAGGTGTTTAAACTGTATTTTTGATTCTATTTCTCCTCATTGGTCTGAATTATCCATGACATCCATACTGCATCACATCAAGTCCAAATCATTAGAGAAATGCCTCTGCCTGCACTGACCAGAGGATGTTTGGATTCTGATGTCAGCCCAGTTCTGCAGCCTGACAGGAATCAGGTGTTGTCCCCAGTGTATACAGAATTCTTCTTTGCAGCCAAACTAGTCTAACATGCATTTTGTTAACTGGAATTGGAGCAGCAAAACAAAGAAAATAAATGCTTCATTTTCCAGCTTTGTGGGTGAGAGAACTATAAGTCAAGATTATAATGCTGGACACTGATGGTCTTAAACCAGCTGCCTCAGGAATCTGCCAAGAACTTTGCTGAAAATATGTTTCTCATCCTAGCAACGGAGCTAAGACTTATAACACATCTGCCCACCTTTATTCGAATGAAGCTCCTTCTGATCTGACAGCTCAGGCATTGTCAGTTTCATCCAGAACAATTTACAAACTTGGAACCTAATTCTGTAAACTCTTAATCATTTGATCAATCCCATTGAAGACAATGGGATTATTTGCATGGCTATGGACCACTTTTGTAGACTGGTAAGAGTTTCAGGAGTTTGTTCCTATAAAGGAAGCTGAATCACCCATTGAAATGCAATGTTTGGGTACAATACCATAAAGCAGTTTAGGATACAGTTCTACTTAAAATTTGTCTTTTAATAAGTCAGACATATGCTGAAATGGCTCCTCACCCAACTCCCATATTCCATATAAACAAACCGAATATTACATATTTGTGGGGAAGTGAGTAGTTAAGCATGCTGATGTCTGTATGTACAAAGCGGGGTGTCAGAGGAGACGGGGAGAGCAAGGGGGCCCCGGGCTGGGCGGAATCACATGGAGGGTCATGTGAGGAGGTCACGTGCCCCCCCTTGTGTCCCTCCCATAAGTGCAGTACCAGCAAGAAATGATTTCTACTTGCACCACTGACTGGAAACCACAGGCCGGGAGTCTGTTTGACTGAAGGAGGGGAACAGCCAGCGTGGGTTGGTGCTTTGCGCATCATCTGGTCACCACTTTTTACATAACAAAACTGCCCTCTTGGATAGAGAGGGGGAGCCCGGTGGATTGTGATCTCTGGATTTCAGCAAGGCTTTTGGCCCAGCGGTGCCCTCACTCCCAATGCAGACACTGGGGTAGGGAAGGGTAGGGAAGATGAGCTGAAATGATCCAAGGGACCAGAGAATGATGAATTTATGAGAGAAGATGAAAGTAATAATGGTGGTTTCCCTTAAGCTGTGAGGCTGGTTATAGGGGTGGAAAACACAATAACTCTGACTGGATAATAATACCCATACCAAGACAGGACACTTCTAGGGGACAGGGGGAGTAAACTGGTTTAAGTTTAACAAAGGAAATTAGGGAAGATCTTTGGACCCGAGACCAATGAGAAAGGGGAACATCTTGCTTCGACACACTCACTAGGTATCTGTAAGGAAAGAGAATGTCTGGGAAGTTTAGCAAGGGAGTGATAGACAGAGGGATGGACTAGGAAATGCAAGGCCCCTTCGGCTGCCTCCTTCTCAATTTTCTGAACCTGACAGTCTGAGCGCACCGTCTCTCTGTTTATTTCTCTGGATTTAAAAAAATAGAGGTGGGAAAGCCCCCAGCTGCCATCCGCAGCAGAAAGCTAGGAAGAGACTGGAGAGTGCAAAGACAGTGCATTACTCAGGAGTTTGCTGGAGCCAGGCAGTGACTGGGGGGGGGGGGGGGGGAATGACAGGAAAGAGCTGCGTCAGACCTGGAGCTCCTGAAAATGCCTCAGGCAAGACAGCAGCATCACAGGAAAAACTGTTTCACATGTATCCAAGTTTCAAGGAAATGGATATGGGGGGGGGGGGGGAGGGAGGACACCCTAGCAATGAAAGCCCAGAGGAGGATTTGTCACAGCGCCTGGAGACAAGCCAAATGCAGACAGATGCACAAACCAATAAAGGGAGCCAAGGACTTTTGGCTCAGCAATTCGTTGGGGGAAGACTGCAGCACGGGTGAGAGGAGCTCCAGCGTCTGGCTGGGCTCAGCACGCCAGCCCCTTCTTCCAATCCTGTGCTTGAGGAGGTTTGCTCTGGCTGACCCTGAACTCTGATACGAATTGACAGGGGACAAAAGGGCAGCAGGGTTTGCCAAGAATCCCCCTAAGTAGCAAGGGCTGCTTTAGCCTTCTCTGTCCAGGTGAGCGGCTGCCCCCCCTTCCCCCAGTTCTCGCTCTCCCACTCTAGGCAAACCTTGCATATGAGAGCTTCCACCCCCGCACTCTCCATGGACACTGATAATGGGCCTTGCTTTCCACGCTGGCAAGCTTACTGGGTTCAGAAGCACGGTCAGGAAGAGTTCACCACCCCGAATGCTTTTGTCCAACTCCTTGGAGCCCCCAGGATATTCGTTGTAGAAGATGGTGTGAGTAAAAAGCCCACACGTCTGTCGAGGCAGCACCTAGTGGAGCCGGAGAGAGGGAACATTAGAGAGGATGCTGAGAGCATGTGCATGGGTGTGTCGAGGCAGCACCCTACAGAATGACCTGGAGAGGACACCACGAGCGAGGGACCCAGAGCATCACAGGTTTACAGGATTCAGACATTCCCCTATTCACTTGCTCATCCTGCTCTGAGTAATGGCGCAGGGGGTTAGTGGGATCTCAGCTTCGTGCTTGCGTGCATGGTTCTCCACCACATTCCCACAGGGGCTGACCCATCCATCCGACACACAGGTCAGGGCAGGTGCTGCAGATGTGCCTCCTCGGAAAGAGCCCTGGAGTCTGAAGAGGAAGAGTTGGCTCCTGCAGAGATGGTGCTTTCATGGGCCGGGATGCATGGCTTTGTAGACACGTACTTGCTGGCGTTTGGGAGTTTTCATTCTAAAACCTCACATACGGTAGCCTCTGCACTGCACTGACTCCGACCACAGAAGCACAACAACGGGCTCTTCCTCAGCTTTGATGGATGGTTTCGGGAAGGTTCAGCACTCAAGGTACTGGGTGGAGCTTCTCAGCACTGGTAACCTAGAAGCCTCCCTCAGCTGACTGCCGCCATAGCTCCTCCCAGAACTAACCCAAAGGGCTCCACTCTCCCAGCTGGTAACACTCACCATGATGCCGTTATGGATGAACCCTCGCCGGTACCGGGCGGGCCGCAGGTGGGGATACTCCTCAGTGCTGGTCACCTGGATGCCCCAGACGGATTTCCAGGCCTCATAGAGCTGTGTATGGATGGGATAAACTCCAGAATGATGGGGGGCCACAGCATAGCCCAAGTCCGTGGGGATCCCATGTTCCTGGAAGCAGAACACAGCTTTCGCTCAGTATTTAACTCCCCATTGTCTTTAATGAGAACCACAGCAGTGCGAGCAGTCTCCCCGGGGACCCTGTGTGAAATGGGAAGCTCGGAGTGCTGCCAGAATCTATCCATACAGGTAGCAAAGGTGCTTATACATCAACCAGGGCATTCAGCACCGCAGCAGCTACTCAACAGCCACGGGTCACTCGGAGCTGTGACAAACAGGACTAATTCACCAGCCTGACCTCAGCCCCATCGGTTACAATGGCCAAACCAATCAGTGCCGCTGAAGAGGCAAATCCCGCTCCTATGCTGTCCAGAGGAGCATTACCAGAGCAGAAAAGCAAAACCATGCCTGCCAAGTGTGGAGGGAAGGGAAGATGCAACTTGGCTCTGTCTTCGAGAGAGAAATGCTAGGGGCAGCAGGGAGCAAGGGGGCTGTGCAGAGTGGAGCGGGGACTTGGAGCCAGGTATTACATCAAATCAACAGGAAAAATTTGAATGTTGTGGTTGGAACTTCATTGAACGGTTCTGGTAATGACAGGAATTAGGACACCTTTGCCATGGTGGTTTACAATACACCGGGGGCCCCCTGACGGAGTCACAGCCTGTCAGGCTCATTGGCTAGGGTATTCTATATTGTGTGTTTAATTGCTCTCCGAGTTTTGTATCTCTTTGCAACGGACGGTCACGTTTCTGGGCCTGTGTCTGAAAGAAAATAAAATCAGATATTTAAGCGGGGAAGAAAAGAAGTGAACTGTCGTTATAACATTGTGGTAGCTGTGCTCTGAGGTTAGGAGCACCCATGTTACCCAGGGTCAAGAGGTCCAGTGACCTGGGCATGAAACAACAGACTCTTACTCCAATGGGGCTTGGCTTATAACTAATAAACCCATAGCATGGGCTGAAGAGAGGCTTGTTTTCAAAGGAATCTGCAGAAGATGTTTCACCCCCATGCCCTGTGCTGTGAGTATTAAGCATATGTGGCCCCAGCAGCCCAGGACTTTCCAGATGGTCCTCTCCCTCCACTTGACAACAGGGAACTTCCCTTAAACTGAAGTGACTCTCTGGGAGGCCAGTGTTCCAACCTTGAGCACCCTATGCTACTGATCAGTTGAGGGTAATGCCACGTAGCCCCCTGAAAAACCTCAATGAAGCAATAAGGACAGAGCAGGAAATGCTTCTTTACAGGCTGAGTTTGTACCATACTTTGAATTGGATAGTAGAAGTAGCACCAGAATGACTCAGCAGTCAGTGCCCCATGCCCACACCCAGCACAGCGTTGGGAACCATGCTTTGTAATGTAGTAGGAGCCACACACTGGTGCACAAGTACCAGGACACACGTTCCCCTGGACACTAATGCTGGGTGTAATACTTTCAGGCAGTAGGGACCATGCACCAGGCCAGGGAGTCACACTCAGCTTTTCAATCCACCAGGATTACCACATTAGTGCCTGGGCTCAGCAGGAGCCAAGCACTCATTCCCGGGTGGATGCTTTGGGATTTTGAAGCAAAGTGAATGAGCCTATGGACTATCGATGTCACCTCTTACCAGCGCAAATTGCTTGTTGAGCTTCATTTGCTCAGCCAACACGGTGACGTTGTGGAAGAGGTGAGGCTGCATGTGACTCCACATGTGCGGGAACCACCAGAACTCCTTCCTGTGTTTAAGTAGCATGTCATCACCTTCATCTTCCTCATCTGTACCTGCAGGGAGCAGAAGGTCCATAGCAGGAGGGTGGTCAGTGACCTGAGGCAGTAGCTAATCTCTTGTAATTCAACACTGGTAGTGCCCAGAGACATCCTGCATTAGTTTTACTCACACACACACACACACACACACACCCAACCACCATACTCAGGGTGCTGTCGATACCACCATCCTGCTGGAGGCAGCCCCACTATGCTCAGTTCACAAGAGCTGAAGGAAATGATTTGATCAGACCGACAGCATTTTAGAATCACAGGCTGTTCCCAGCACGCTGTTGGGGAGCTGTGCTACACTATGGGACACTGCAACCAGAGGACACAGACTCAGGGGAATGTTAGGTGGGTGGAAGGAGCTTACCTGTGTGGTAGAATTTCCCAGAGAAGCCCAAGTTGAAAGTGAAATTGGGGACTAATGTTCTCAGCTTGTTCTGAGTGTTCAGGAGAGCCTGTTCAAATGGAACGGGAGAAAGAAAGATTCACATTCAATTGCTCAGTCACATCTCTGCTTTGCTGCGTCCAGTTCAGTTCTGGAAGGAGCTGGAGTAGCATGGAATCCTGTTGTCCTCCATTGTGGCAAGGCACCATAGCCCCTGGAGCAGTGGTTCTGAACCCACGGCCCAATCAGCACACAGCTGCAGCCCATGTGACATCCTCAGCGCCATACTGGTATTTTATATATTGTGTGGATGTGGCCCACATAGCACAGAGAGAGCTGCATATGCGGCCCACAATGATAAATAGGTTGAAAACCACTGCCCTGGAGCGAACCATGAAGCAGGACCATGCCACAGAGGAATTTCCTCAATCCCACCCAGAGGGACCCTATCCCACTTCTCTAGGTGAGGGATGGACTACGCTCCATTACATGGAGTCTAGTCTTGTCTCCTGCACGACCATGTCAGCCCAAAGGCCACAATCAAGTGATGCCCCCTTGTCCACGGTCTCAAAACCACTGAAATGGATGTGAAATGCCTGTTCTGAGACACAGAAGGGCAGCAAATCCCACCTCCCCATTGCAGCTTCTTAAGGCATCTCAGACCCAACATCAAGGCTCCCCTCCTCACCCCTCCTAAGCTGGCCGGGACCATGTTGTTGAGTTCCCACCCCAGAGCAGAGTAATGGAAGGCAAGTTTCTGTGCACTCTGCTGGGTCGGGCTCTCGAGGGTGGAGAGACAAAGCGGGAGAATTCAGTGCTGCTGCAGGGATGAACATAAGGGACCCAGAGCTCACAGCACTGCTTTAAAAGGGACCCAGAGCTCACAGCATCGCTCGTGATGGGTTACTGGATATACATATACTGCTGGGGCGGGCCCCTCCCAGGTGACCCTGCCACCGGCTAAGTGCTTCAGAGAATCATAGAATATCAGGGTTGGAAGGGACCTCAGGAGGTCATCTAGTCCAACCCCCTGCTCAAAGCAGGACCAATCCCCAACTAAATCATCCCAGTGACAAGCCTGACCTTAAAAACCTCTAAGGAAGGAGATTCCACCACCTCCCTAGGTAACCCATTCCAGTGCTTCACCACCCTCCTAGTGAAAAAGTTTTTCCTAATATCCAACCTAAACCTCCCCCAATGCAACTTGAGACCGTTACACCTTGTTCTGTCATCTGGTACCACTGAGAACAGTCTAGATCCATCCTCTTTGGATCCCCCTTTCAGGTAGTTGAAAGCAGCTATCAAATCCCCTCTCATTCTTCTCTTCTGCAGACTAAACAATCCCAGTGCCCTCAGCCTCTCCTCATAAGTCATGTGCTCCAGCCCCCTAATTATTTTTGTTGTCCTCCGCTGGACTCTTTCCAATTTTTCCACATCCTTCTTGTAGTGTGGGGCCCAAAACTGGACACAGTACTCCAGATGAGGTCTCACCAATGCCGAATAGAGGGGAATGATCACGTCCCTCAATCTGCTGGCAATGCCCCTACTTATACAGCCCAAAATGCCGTTAGCCTTCTTGGCAACAAGGGCACACTGTCGATTCATATCCAACTTCTTGTCCACTGTAACCACTAGGTCCTTTTCTGCAGAACTGCTGCCTAGCCACTCAGTCCCTAGTCTGTAGCAGTGCATGGGATTCTTCCGTCCTAAGTGCAGGACTCTGCACTTGTCCTTGTTGAACCTCATCAGATTTCTTTTGGCCCAATCCTCTAATTTGTCTAGGTCCCTCTGTATCCTATCCCTACCCTCCAGCGTATCTACTACTCCTCCCAGTTTAGTGTCATCTGCAATCTTGCTGAGGGTGCAGTCCATGCCATCCTCCAGCTCATTAATGAGGATATTGAACAAAACCAGCCCCAGGACCAACCCTTGGGGCACTCTGCTTGATACCAGCTGCCAACTAGACATGGAGCCATTGATCACTACCCGTTGAGCCCGATGATCATGAAGCTCCCTCTCAGTGCATCTCTTAATCAACAGGGACCAGGCAGGAGTGCTGGAGCTGGTGAATCAGGAGCTGCCTGGTGACGGAGATGGCCTAGTCCCAGGCAGTTATTTACATTTTAATAGTTTTTCTAAAAAGTGACGGATCAGTGACTGCACCAAGGTGAAGGTGGTAACCTAGCAATAGCAGACTTGGGCTAAATGCTAATGCACAGCGAGGTGGCCACATGGAGCGTGCGCACAGCTCCTCTGGGCCACAGGCACAGAGAGGAAGATCTCCCTGCATCAGCAACATTTCACAAGTTCCTAGGAGTGTTGGAGAGTACATCGGGGTGCCCCAACATGGCTCATGCCACATAGGACATTGGTAAGGCACACTGGTCTCCAGCTGGTAAAAATCACATCCACAAACCCATACTCTTGTGCCATGGAGGGACCACGCATTTAGTAACCAACTGGCATGCATGCAAATCACTGCAATTATAGTTATTTCCAAGGGATGCCTAGTGCGCAGTGCCTGTGCCACTAATTCAGTAGCTCATGCTGACTGGCAGAGAGAATGAATTTCTGTCTCTTCCCACCTGCTGTGCGCACACATCCCTTGGAGAGGGAGGGTGAGTGCTGGAAGATGTAGGAGTTTATTATCTGAGCCCTCCAGCATGAGCTCTTCAGTGCAAACCTATAAACTGTGTTCACTGGGCTGGGAAAAATTCCTCCTCCCCTCTCGCATGCATGTGCTTCTTGGTGAGAGCTAAGAGGAGGAAGGAAATGGGCTCTTAGTGCTGCCTGGTGACACAGGGCAGGGTGCTGATCATCGTCACCATATTGATTATTTCTGGAGTGCCAATGATGCGCTTGAAGCTGTCCAAGAGCCTGCACTAACCCAGCCACCCAACTCCTTTCTGGTCAAGGGGCTGCTGGCCTCTCTCCCAGCATAAAAGGCCAGAAATTTCAGCTCCCCCTCCTCACTCAGATGTCAATGGCAACAAATGCGTAATGAGCCTGGGACAAAAGGTAAGAACAACAGTAGAGGCTAGGCTCCAATCCCCACTGTGCTCATGGGACTATCCCATTCCTAATCCCCCAAGGGAACCGATGCGTTGGGGAAACATGGCCTATGGCATCTTCTGGAACCTATTGTAAGGGCTAGTTTACACTAGAAGCGCTAGAGCGGTGCAGCTGCACCATGTCCGGTGAAGATGCCCTATGTCGATTGGAGAGAGCTCTCCTGTCAGCATAATATAAAACCACCCCCGTGAGCGTGTCAGCAGAAGACATAGCACTGACCACACCGATGCTGAGGTCGGTGTAACTCACGTCACTTGGGGGTGGCTGATTCACAGCCTTCAGCAACATAACCTGTACTGTAGATAAGCCCTAAATTCATCCAGTGCTTTGGAAAGATTCAGCCTGGCTGTTCTGGGGCTAAAGGCTACACATGGTTCAGAGCAACAGCTTTCGGTCACACCAACCAAATGAACAAGGGGAGGCAGTTCCTGTGCTACTCGGCTGCTAGCTGTGAAAAGCTCCACCTTTATTACCATCTCCAGAGCCACCCTCCTTTCTCTGTGGGAGTGAAAGAGGTCTCCAGCTACTCCTGTTTGCTGGGAAGGTGAGAGAGAAGAGAGGAGGCTAAGGAGCTTAACATTCCTCTGCAGAGGGAAGTTTAAAGCCTGGCTTGGGTTACCAGGACAACCCTTCTGACAGCTAATAAATCCTAAATAACCCTGCTTTAGAGTGGGCAGCAAGTCTACTGCTTAGAGAGAGGCACCCTGGGGAAGAGGTGGGGCAAAGGGAGCCCAGGAACTCAGACTACGGAGAGTATTATGCTGCTTTCTGGGCAAGTCTGTTCTTAATGATGTGCTAGACCTTCTACGGATTACTGGTCCTTCGTAAGAGCTCACTCAGAAAACAGCACCACACAGGTTCAATCCCATTTCACACAACTCCCTGCTGGGCAGGAGAAGAGAAATGATAGGAACCAACCAGGGCCTGCAGTGGAAATTCCTCCAACCTTCTCCTGATGAACTGATACCCTAGTCAGGAAAGATGAGTGTGGGGGGAAGATGGTGTTTGTAATGGAAGGGAGAGAGTGTGAGGACTGGCAGGCAGGAGACCTGGGCTCTAGTCCCATCCCTGCCACTTGCTCAGTTTATTTTCCCTCCCTATACTCACCTCTTAGGGGGTGCTGTGAGGTGTAGTTCATTACCATGTGGAAAGTGCTCTGAGATGCTTGGAGGAAAGGTGCCAGAGAAGAGCACATTGTTATATTTACTAGTACATGAAGTAACCAGACAACTGCAGGCAGGTCCTCAGCCCCAAACTCTGCTCACATGACACTGAACTTAGTCTGCTAATCGCCCTCTACCCCCAAGAAACTGCCAGCTTCCTCAGCTGGTGGGAAAGGGGGAGCCTACCTGTGGTCCTGGCTCTTCTTTTCAGCAGCCTGACCACAGACCAGAAAACCTCCTCTGGATTCCAGCAAACTCAGACCTAGCCTTATTTTTGCTCTGAATCCCTTGGAGAGCTCTGAGTATCTCTATTTGATATCCTCTATTTACCACCATTCGAAGGTTCCTACTGGAATGTAATAATCCTGCCCTTTAGCTGGCCAAAAGGGCCACTGTTGGCTAACAAGCAGTGCTGGCTCCAGGAAACAAGAGACTGGGATTCAAATGCAGCTCACTACCATTAACTCGCCAGGCCAGCCCAGATCCAACCTACTTTACAATTGCTATAATCTGATGGAGAATGTCCTCCAGATTCTAAGGACTGATTTTTCAGATGTCTCAATCCAGCCTGTAATTTAGCTCCAGTAATCAGCTGAGAGAACAAAACTGCAGGCACAAGCAATGGATACCTAAATTCCACCACCCAGATTTGTGTGCACTCAAGAGGATGTCTAAATTCTATCACTTGGGCCTGCAATTAATTACCCTCACAACTGGGGGACTTTAAAAATTATCCTAGGGCCCTAAATATTTACTTTAAAAAAAACATTGGAAAGAAATTAAAAGAAAAGCCCCCATCTTGGTGTGACCCTTTTAAAACAAAATCTGCAAGCTC